TAGCAGCGCTGGTGTTGCACAACATTTACCAGACCGTGGTAGTAAAACTGCCTGACATACTTCATTATTAGCAGTGCGTTTGATTGCTTGTTCATGCAGAATTTCATCTATAAGAAAGAGAAAGTGTGTTGTGGCTGTAAAAGAAAAGCCAATCTTAAAAAGTAGCAATGTAGTAGGATTTCATTTAGCTTCTGATTCCCATAAATTTTTGTGCCTTGGGTTCATTAAAAGCAAAATTGTAAAGTAGTGAATGACTAGTGTCAGGTTTTTAATGTCCCTGCCTCTAAAAGTCTTTTTGTTAGTAACAAAGCCGTATAGTTGGGTAAAATCAACACTGGCATCAATGAGAGTAATAACAAATACTAGCTCTACATTAATAATGAGAAATACTCATTGCTTTGACACATCAGAATGATGTTGCAACAATAAAATGCAAAATAAAATATCTATGAGTCTATGAAATGTGCATAAACGTATTATCAGGAGAAACAGCGGTCATACGCAGCAGGCTGTAACATTACACTGCCCTTTCTTTTCTTTTTTTTCTTCTTCTTCTTCTTTTTAATCCTTTAGGTGGGTGCTTTATGAGAAACCCAACTTCAAAGGGGAGAAGATTGCTCTGGATGAGGGTGACATCGAGATTACTTACCCGTTCAGCCCTCCAGAAGAGCAGCAAGAGAATGAACAGAATGAGGGAGAAGAGCAGAACGGAGACACAAATGATGAGCAAAAGGAGACCAAGCCAGCCAGGAGGTTCCTCATCGGATCCATACGAAGAGCAGTGAGGGTAAGAAGAATTTTCTTTCCCTCTGTTGTCGCTGGTTGTTGCCACAAAGCCTGAATTAGGATTTGAAAGCTAACTGAGTGCACTGGAACATTTTGTTGCAGAATCATTATATCAGCGTGAATGGCTGATTTCTTCTCAAATGTTTTGTTTTCAATCTTGCGAGTGGCTGTTTGCTCCTTAGCTCAATGGCACCATCTAGTGTCAAAAACAAGTGTCAACACTTGACTGGGCCTACAAGTCAGATACTACTACAAATGTACTTTGCTTTAAAGGATCCAAACATTGAAGCATGAAAATAAATATTTAATTATTTTCTACTAGTGTGTGAATGGGTGGATGACTGAATGTAGTGTAAAGCGCTTTGAGGTCCATAGGGACTAAGTAAAGCACTATACAGATACAGGCCATTTACTATTTTATTAATCTGAGATATATGGACTATTCACATCAAAAAGCCTGAGACACTTATCTATTGCATATATTTACTTTTTGTTTTAATATGCCATACCTATATAATGTCACATGCGTGGGTTGTCTCCCAGTACTTGACAGTGATTGGTTGGTAGAGGTGTCTGTCTGACATCAGCTCATTCTGTATTCAGAACAATAACAGTGTTGCTCTGTTAGTAAAGGGTATAACATTCTTTATCTTCAGATGGCATTGTGCTCCCATCCTTTTTCTCGCCCATGCTCTTATATTTGATTTTCCTCAGAAAACAAATCAAATTAAAATATCTGACAATCCAGACCAAATTGGTGCAAAAGCTCCCTTAACAGAGGGTGGACAACTTTCTTGTCCATGCTGGAGGTGTAAAAATCTACTCATTATGATGTTTATCTGTAAGTCCCGTGTTTGCCATGTGACAGTAGTGTTACAGCCTCCCTCTATCCTCCCTCAGGACTACAGCGTTCCAGAAATCAGCCTTTTCCCTGAAGAGGAAGCGGAGGGAAAGAAAGTCATCTTCCGAGATACTTCCGATGATGCCAGGATTTTTGGTTTCCCCATTAAGGCCAATTCCATCATTATTAACGCAGGGCTGTGAGTGATGTTGATTTATTCAAAATGCTTTGTAAAGCCAAAATTAATATGATATTGATCATTTGTCACTAGTGTTGCATTTCATCCAATTTGACAAATCAGATTGCTTTAATGTTTTTTACTGACATCTATTTTTCTGCTCTTCAGGTGGCTTGTGTTCGCGCAGCCTTTCTTCCAGGGTGTACCACGAGTCTTGGAGGTTGGGGGGTACTCCAACCCAGCAGCCTGGGGGGTGGAACAGCCCTACGTGGGGTCCTTACATCCACTCAAAATAGTAGGTGTCACTTCTAGAAGCACTTACAATCTGCCTTCTTTATCACTTGCACTTAATTTGGATTTCTTTTTCTTTTTAACTCACAGGGTGAACCAAAGGTGGAACATCTGAATGATCCAAAGGTGAAGAAAGATGAATTTTCCTGTTCACAAACTGCTACTGAAACTATTACTGAAACTTAAAAGCTGACTTTCTGTCTCCAGATGGTGATTTATGAAAAGCCCTACTTTACTGGGAAATCGAGGACCATAACCACCAACATGAGAGACTTTATGACCAGAATAGAGAGGCAGCAAACAACCTTTATGTATAACGTGGGCTCTCTTAAAGTACTAGGAGGAATGTAAGTGGTATTCTTGCCTGTTTGTATTCGGTGATCCTTGAAAAGGCATTTTGCAAGTTTTAACAGCTGCAGATCACATCATTACTTTATTTTTGTTTTGTTTTTTAAGCCATGTGCCTTTCTCTGTTTCTGTAGCTGGGTGGGCTATGAGAAGGAGGGTTTCCGAGGCCACCAGTACCTGCTGGAGGAAGGAGAGTATCATGACTGGAGGGTGTGGGGAGGCTGTGATGCAGAACTGCGCTCTGTTAGGGTCATTCGAGCAGTAAGTTACAATGACTTCAAAAGAACTAATATTTGTTCATTCTTCTCATGTCTGTAAACGAAACAGCTGTGGCTCCCAGTAAGTGAAAGCTGCACATTAAATTGCAAGAGGGCCGTTTAACTTGAAATTGTTAATACGTGTTTCCGGTCTCGAGACCACTTTTACGTGATCTCGGTCTTGTCTTGGTCTCGCTGTCTCAGTCGTGCTGTCTCAGATCGACACAGTTGTCGGGAAATTCGGAGTCAACTGTATCCATGACACACAACGTTACGTTCGATAATGTGTCATGCTCAAAAGCATCAGCTCTAAGAGCCGTGCTTACAGAGTGCTTTGTAGTGAATCAGAAGAG